TCTTTCTACTTGAGCCCTTGGTATCAGCTCCTCTTTTTTTCCCCTCCCTCCCCTATCCTCCCACCCTCATGAGCCCTTAATAATTTACAAATTATTTTTATTTATTTTTTCACCATTTGCTGTTTCCCTTTACCCACATGTCTGTTGTTAGTCCCCAAGGGTGGGGTGGTGGTGGTGGTGTACTTCAATCACTGTGATTGGTTCCCTTTTTCTCCCCACTCTCCCTGCACCTTCCCCCTACCTCATGGTATGGCTCTCTCATTATTGGTCCTGAGGGGGTTATCTGTCCCCGATTCTGTGTGTCAAGAGCTCTTATCTGTACCAGTGTACATGCTCTGGTCTAGCCAGACTTGTAAGACAGAATTAGGGTCATGATAGTGGGGGTGGTGAAGAATTAAGAACTACAGGAATGTCATTGTGTTTTGTTGGTGCTATACTGCATCCTGGTTGGCTCATCTCTTCCTCATGAACCTTCTGTGAGGGGATGTTCAATTGTCTACAGATGGGCTTTGGGTCTCCATTCTGACACCCCTCCCCCCTTGTTCCAATTGAAATGGTTGCTTGTTTTGGGTCTTTGATGCCTGATACCTGATCCCATAGACACCTCATGATCACATGGGTTGGTGTGCTTCTTCCATGTGGCTTTGTTGCTTTCCCTGCTAGATGGTCGCTTGTTTAACTTCAAGTCTTTAAGACCCCAGACACTAGATCTTGTAACAGCCAGTGTGATAGGTTTGTTGTGCCGACCTGGCCAATAGAAACATGTAGGATTAACCAGGTTGCAGTTTGATTGGAGGACAAAGAGATAAATGGCTCTGCAAGGCCCACCCCCAGTCTCTTGCTCTCTGGTGATTGGAGTGTGCTGGAGCACCTGTGCTGGAGTGTGCTGGAACACCTGTGGGCCAGGCCAACATGTGACCATGTTGCTAGGGCTGGAGGCTCTTTGAGACCTGCTTCACCATGCTGGTGGTGCATACATTGCTTGAGCTTGAGGCTGGTGGATTCTTTCGCCTTGCATTGCTTGCATTTGATATATCTGGGTCTGCTACCTAAGCTTCTGAGCTACTGACTGTTGGTGACCCACCCTGCTGTTTGCTGCCTGTGGGTAGACTCTGTTTGCCTTGCCCTTGGGAGGACTCTGCTGTCTGCTTCCTTGGCCTTGGACCGAGCAGCCCACGTGAGTTGAAGGACTTCTAGTCCATTAACTATTCCATGAAAGTGAGTTGAACTGAACCCTCTGTACTGCTGTGTGGACTAATTAGCTGTTATAGTCTTTCTTGCTGTATAAACATATCCTCTTATATAAAATAATAAGCGTCCTGGTTTTGTTTCTCTAGAGAACCCTGTCTAACTCAGCCAGGTACCATCAGCTTTCTTCACCACTTAGTTTATGCACCCATTTTGTCTTCAGCAATCATGTCGGAAAGTTGAGCATCACAGAATGCCAGATTATTAGAACAAAGTGTGCTTGCATTGATGGAGGACTTGAGTAGGGGCCCATTGTCCATCTGCTACCTTAATAGTTAACCTTTAAATATATGTATATAGACCTATATCCCTATCATTATATATTTACATATGTACATGCCTATGCTTATACCTCTGTAAATGTCTTTTG